CATCTGGGGTTGAGAGATATATAATATGTATATACTCATATACATAATTACTGATCTGATCTAACCTATTTTTCAAATATTCAAGTTTTCTGAACCCTGTCACAATGAGGTACACCTACATACTTCTCTCTGGCATAAGATTAATCTCTAAAGGATCTCTTAACAAAATGAGGAGGCTGTGGGAATGAAACTTTTGGCTAAGGGTGAAGAGGTAGAAAATTCTAGGCATGTTTGTTGACTTTTGTGGAGGAAGGAATGTTTAATCCCCTTACCACTCCCTCCTTCCCTTGTTATAATAAATTATTCATTATGAAGTGTTCAATTGGCCATTGGGGTCTATTCTCTTCAGACAACTTTCAATATAGGGACTTCGCTAGGGAGGGGGATGGCTTAGGACTACCCAATATAGATCATGAAGTTGTCCTTGCTGAAGAATTTATATATAAACCTTTTTATAGCTGACACAACCCCTTGTTACCAGCAGATAAGGAATATTTGCTTTTCAATTGGAATTAATATCTACATTTTGGCTTGTGAAATTGTGACTGCTTTAACCTTGATAAGATTTTCCTTAATTTACCTGTCTCAGGACGTCATCATTCTGTTCAAACTTGGGTAGCAAATATCACTTCCTTTATTCTGCAGTCTCCCACTTACCCTTATATATTACATAATTCTCCTGAGTTTAAAAGGTACACACACAACTGTGTCTCAACTTTGACTTATGGTTGAAACATGCTTGGAGTTTGTCTTTGTTAAAATCTGTATTTTGAAGCATAGACTTGAGACCAGGAGAGCAGCTTGTGGGAAAGATTGGGTTAGGAATGAGAGCAGATGGAAAGGAGCCAGGACTGGGGACGGTGGGGAGAAGTGGGAGGAAGAGCCCCAAACCAGAACTTCTTGTTGGGAAATTGATCCATTTATTTATTTACTCAATAAATATTTACTTGATGGCTACCATATCTGTAGGAGATACAAAGAGGTGCTCAGCAAGTCTGATTTAATAAAAAAAGAAACAGCTAAAACTGATTAAGCACTTATTATGTATTTGGGCCTTGAGCCCAGCACATTATAGTTAACTTTACGTGTAATTCTCACAAGAGCCTCCTGTCAGATGAAGAAGCTATAAAGAGAAATAATTTGGTCAGGATCACACACAGGTAGCAAGTTCCAGAGGCATGTTTTACTTGATTGTTCATTTAATCAATACTGAGTGTCTCCCCTGTGCCAAGCACTGTTCTAGAAGCTGGCATACTGTGGGGAGAAAGGCCAGGTTCCAGCTGTCCTGGAACAAAGGTTATAGTGGAGAAGGCACACAATGAGTGGAGCAATTCCAATATCATGTCTTGTCCAGGAGTGGTACGTCTCTAAGAAAAAGATGGCAGGATAAGGGGAGTTGGGTGGGGTCAGTGGAATTGCTTTGGATTGAGTGTGTGTGATCACAGGAGGCCCTCTGAGGAGATGACATTTGAATTGAGGAAGTGGGCTGTGTGACAGTCAAGTGGAGGAGAGATCAAGTACAAAACCGAATGAGCATGGAGTGTCTGGGGAGTGGCATGTCGACTGAGAGGAATGAGGAAGTGGAGATGAATCAGAGAAGTGATTTTGGGCCACCCACGCCACTGCAAGGAGTTGGATTTATTCTGAGGTAAGGACAGCCATCGGGGGATTTTGAGCAGAGGAGTGACAGCAGCTGATGTGTGTTTGTAAAGGTCATTGCAATTACTGTGGAAAGATCTGTCTGGATTTGAATCCAGAGTCATCTGACACCAGAGCTCAAGCTCTTAATTATGCAAAAATGTATAACTGGGGAATAATTGTCATGTGAGAAGTTTCAGAGGGAGGAGAGATTACATCTGTTTGGGGACTCAGGGAAATCCAAGATGGACTGTGCCTGGCACATAGAGAGTCTTCGGGGAGTGAGGTTGGACCACTTCTGGGCAGCCTTAATACCAGACTAAGGAGGGTGAACTTCCTCTAGCCGGCAGTGGGGAGATACTGAAGCTACTAGGCAAGTGACAGACATTCGGTAGTGTCTGTGCTCTGCAAAGTGAGAAGACTGGCACTTCGTGAGTTGAATAAAGAGACCCGTCAGGTGCCAGAGTGGTCCAAGTGAAAACTAATGAGAGTTGTTCCAGTGGCAAGCAGGATATGCTTTTAATCACTCAACATTCTTCCCATCAAATAACTAGTGTAACAGTTGTTGCAGCTGCTAATCTGTGTGAGTTCATAGTTGTTTTGGTCCTCAGGGGAGTTGAGTTTATCTCAGTCCTCAGTTCACAGCCTGCTACCATCTTTGTCAATGCAAAGCTCCTCTTGGGGTTTTATCCTAATTTTTAGTAAATAACAGAATAAGTTTCTCACTAATCTATTTGTGGAGACACATGTAAAAAGGACAACTGAGCTCTTCCTAAATAAATGTCTATCAAATATGACATTTGTTCATGATATCCATTCCCCTTTAGAGCACACAGACGTGTCGTGGGAAAGAGTAATGCTTTGATGTTAGAACAGCAATCTGACTCTTAGTGCCAGCTGTTCATACAAGAAAGAAAAAGCATGATATGGCCAGTCAGTCCCCAAGGCCTTGGGGTCTATGGATCCTCTATGGAGACAGACATACACCAACACACACTTCTATTTCTATGGGCTAAAGTCCCCACCATGGTACCTGACTATTATGACTGTGCACTGATGATGATGTCACTTCCTGATTTTGCTTTGGGAAGTGAATGAAGATTTAAGCTGTACCAAACCTACGCACCAGTGTCCCCATCCCAGACCTACTGGTGATGTGAAGAAAAGTATGCACCATGCTGTTCTTCTGTGCATTGTATAAACCTCTGTAAACACATTGTCATTCTTTTTTATTTCTTTGCAGGAAGTTCAGAAAAAGGTGTCTCTTTTTAATCTGCAGATGGACATAAGTGGTTTAATTCCTGGTCTAGTGTCCACGTTCATACTTCTGACCCATAGTGATCATTATGGACGAAAATTCCCTTTGATTTTGTCTTCTGCTGGTGCCCTTGCGACCAGCGTCTGGCTCTGTTTGCTTTCCTATTTTGCCTTCCCATTCCAGCTTTTGATTGCATCTACCTTCATTGGGGCACTTTGTGGCAATTCTACCACATTTTTGGGAGCTTGTTTTGCCTACATAGTTGATCAGTGTAAAGAAGAGAAACAAAGAACAATTCGAATAGCTATCATTGACTTCATCATTGGACTTGTTACTGGATTAACAGGACTGTCTTCTGGCTATTTCATTAGAGAACTCGGTTTTGTGTGGTCCTTTTTAATTATTACTATGGCTCTGACTGTGAACTTGATTTATATTTTATTTTTTCTTGGTGATTCAATGAAAGAGCCTTCGTCTCAAAATGTTTCCATATCATGTAGTGAAAGTTTTAAAAACTTATTTTACCGAACTTACATGCTTTTTAAAAATGCTTCTCGTGAGCGACGCTCTTTGCTCTGTTTGTTACTTTTCACAATGATCACTTATTTTTTTGTGATAATTGGCATTTCTCCCATTTTTATCCTCTATGAATTGGATTCACCGCTCTGCTGGAATGAAGTTCTTATAGGTTATGGAACAGCTTTGGGTAATATCTCTTTTTTGAGTAGTTTCCTGGGAATATGGTTGTTTTCTTACTGTATGGAAGACATTTCCATGGCCTTAATTGGAATTGTTACCACCATGGCAGGAATGGCTATGACCGCTTTTGCGAGAACAACACTGATGATATTTTTAGGTGAGTTACAAATGTCGCTTTAGAACTAACTGTGTATTTGAGGTTTATATAAAATGAATGAGTCTGTTGGGTGAGAAACTTTAATATAAAATTCTCTATTTAATGCAGCTTAGTTCAATTAAAGGTAATTTGTTAAAAGCTAGTTTGCCAGAAGCCAAGCACCAATTTGCTTAAAATAATTGACAGAATAAACCATAATTTTCCAAATTTGCCCCCGAAAAAAATTGTTTTATGGAACATTGTTCTTATGACTCAGTTCTTCCACACAGCTTTCACCAAACTGAGTATTTCTTAAAATGCTGCTAAGAAGACTACTTCCCAGTGTGGGAATGGAATCAATGGAATTGTAATAGATAAGTATGATATCAGGGGTGGGAGGGCAGTAGATGGGGGAGGGGAGTTGTTTCTGTGCGAAGGGTGAAAAGGATAACTATTGCATTGTTCTGTACACCTGAAACTAACAATAAAAAATAAAAAAAATAAAAAGACTACTTCCCATAAAATTTTAAGAAACAAATTTATTAGAAAAATTCATACTCATTGAATTTATTCAGGAAGAAAATTTGTTAAGACAAGGCTTTGCCAATTGATCTTTCAGCAGCAAATTGGTCATTTCAGAAATTACTGTTTGGCAAATTGGACTGCTTCCTTCACTACCTGCCTTGTACGTGGTTTTCGTAGGGCTTGAGTGACATACTGCATTTGAAAGCGTTATGAGACCTATACATTAAGACCTTGGGAAAGGCCCGATTTAGTCTTCGCTACAAAGATAGTGTTAACCTCTTGCCACCTTGCAGGGAAGCAGGGTGACCGAACAGAATTGGGCTTAATTTCCATCTCTAGCACTAGGTGATCTGGGAAGATTAAGTAAGTACTCCGAGCCGTCATTTTTTCATCTGTAAAATGGGCCTAGTACTACCTACTGCAGAGGGTGATAATAACTATTAGGCGAGATTACTGTAAAGCAGTGAGCACAGTGCCTGGTAGTCAATAAATGCTAGTTCTCCCTTAGAGCTGCCAAGGCCAAGTAAGTTAATATATGTGGAAGCACATTGAAAACTTTAAAGTGACCTGCAAATGCAACATATTACTATGTTATCATATTCTTAAAAACACTACTGATTAAAAGGGTCGTCATGTAAGGCCAGAGGCAATTTGTGTCCACAAAGTTATTCAGCCACAAAGATGAACAAGCAAGAAGAGAAAGAACCAATTTATCAATAAACAAATTAATATAATAAACGAATGTTAACACCCAAAATGCCAAGTCTGAAAAATCAAAAACAAACAGAGAAAAGTAATTAAGTCACAACTTGCTATGCAAGAGGTTACTACACTAATGCAGGAAATAGCAGATAAGTCTCAACTGGCAGATTATATAGATTGGACCTAAGACTTCCATGAACTCTTGTTCTCTTGTTCTTGGCACTGGAATAAGAATTTACAAGTAAACTAACCTTAAACTGACTGGTCTATAGTCTATCTTAATTCATTAAATAGACTTCTACAATTAATTTACTCTTTAGATGCAATGAGTTAGGATGCTTATAGAAAATGAAATATTTAGAGAGAAAGTGTTTCACATTTAAAACCGACTGTTAGTTTTCTGATTTCCAACCATTTCTTTCACAGTCAGGCTACCCTTCCTTTTCACTATTGTGCCGCTCTCTGTTCTCCGGTCCATGATGTCAAAAGTGGTTCTTTCTACTGAGCAAGGTGAGTTGAATTTGCTTAAGGAATGTGATGAATCTATAATCTGTACCAACTCAAATCTATGTACAATCAAAGTTTGTTTCTTCAGAATTTTCTACAGCCTCTTTTCTGTGTACACTGCTTTTGAACTGAGTGGTAAATTCTATGTTAGGAGGCTTCTATTCAGGCAAGGGAGGCCCTGCCCAGGGCCTCATGCTTTAGCAGGCTTGCTCTGGCCAGTCCCTGCCCCAAAAGGCCAGATGGATATGCCCACAACTAGACTACACTTTGGGTCTGGGTCCCCGTAATTCCCAGACAAACACCTCTGGGCTCATGTCCACTGATGCCTGCAGACCCTTTCTCTTGAGGCAGGACTGGGACCCCAGTGTGCTCACCTCTAGACCAACGGGGTAGCAAAGCAGGGACTCTTTATAGGAGGTCTAATCCAACCTTGGAATTGCAGAGCGGAGTGTGTACAGCCATGTGGAAGGACTTTCTGAGCAGGATGGAGAAGAGGCAGGATGCAGCTGGGACTGAGGCCTGGGGCCAGCTCTCCCAGTGCTGTCCGAGTCCCACATGGAACTTGGAAAGGTCTGAGAAGCCTAAGTTTGTGTCTGACCTTCCAAATCATAGCAAAGGTATATTTTTCAGAGTAGGGAGACAGAACATATCTCAGCTAAAGGTTAGTCAGAATTATCTCTTAGATACTCGGAATATAATATGTAGCTCTCTAATTGCATCCTTATGCTGGGCCTGAGTCGGAGTCCTAGCAAAAACAGGCCCCACTCAGCTGGTTCAATAAAGAGATGTTAATGCAGCCCAGTAGAGAGGAGTGGAGAGTGTGGAGGCAGCCAGAGAGGAGGGCACACATAGGCGGGGAGCAGAGAAGAAACACCACAACCATTCTCTCCTCTTTCATCCCATTGGCCAAGTGCAACAGGAAGTCGGGCCATCAAGGAAGTTCAAGTCATATAATCAGTGGGGTGAGCCTCCCCAAAACAGAGTAGGCAGAGAGAAACAAACAGTTGAAGGGGAGAGCAGCAAATCATCAGCACAAAAGGCAAACAAAAATTAACTTTCTAGTTAGAACTAGTTACTAGTTAGATATCAGGCATATGGGGTTGACCGCCTTCTCCTTTGTAGCACAGGAGTATCATTAGACTTTGGAGCTTTCTTTTGTTTCATGTCTTAGCCTGGTGCAAATGTTCATATTAATTGTTTATGAATAATTCATAGTTATGCTATTCTATTTATGCAGTGTAGTCAACAACTGGGGAAGAATGCATAATTCAGTAAATTAAAAAATATATTTCTTGATTTTTTTTCCACTCATGAGATGTAGCTGTATATTCACACAACTGTTTATAGATTATGTGGTGATGATTAACTGGAAAACCACTTAGGAATATAAAAATGTGTAAGTATAATGTGTAAAAATCTACTTGCTTTCTTGGATTATGCAATGGTTTCTTAGATATGACACCAAAAACACAACAACAAAAGATAAAATAGATAGGTTAGACTTTATCCAAATGTAAAACTTTTGTGCTTCAAAAGACACCATCAAGAAAGTGAAAAAAAACCCCAAAGAATGGGAGAATATATTTGTAAATCATACATCTGATAAGGAACTTGTATCCAGACATATAAGAACTCATAAAACTCAACAACAAAAAGATAACCTAATTAAAAAACGGGCAAAGGATTTGAATAGACATTTCTCCAAAGAAGGTATACAGATGGCCAATAAGCATAGGAAAAGATGTCAACATCTTAGGCATCAGGGAGATAAATGCAAATCAAAACCACAATGAGACCCACTAGGAAGGCTAAAATGAAAAAGGTGGTGTTGGTGAGGATGTGAAGAGATTAGAACCCTCATACACTGCTGGTCAGAATCTAAAATGATGCAGCCATTTTGCAAAATGGTTTGGTAATTCCTCAGAAAGTTAAATAGAGTTACCTTATGACTCAGCAATTCCATTCCTAGGTGTGTACCAAAGAGAAACGAAAACACATGTCCGCACAAAATCTTGTACACAGACGATCATAGCAGTATTATTTATAATAGCCAAAAAGTAGAAACAATGCAAATATCTGATGAATGGATAAACGAAATGTGGTCTATGGAATATTATTTGGCAATTAAAAGGAATAAAGTACTGATAGATGCTACAACATGGATGAACCTTGAAATCATTATGCTAAATGAAAGAAGTCAGTCACAAAGGGCCACGTGTTATATAAATGATTCCATTTATATGAATTGTTCAGAAAAGGCAAACCCATAGAGACAGAAATTAGATTAGCGCTTTCCAGGGGCTGGGGAGAAAGGGACTGTTTGCTAATGGGTACAGAGTTTCTTTTTGGGGTGATGAAAATGTTTAAAATTAGACAGTGGTGACTGTTGCCCAACTCTGAACATACTGAGAGCTACTGAGTTGTACAGTTTAAAAGGGTGGGTTTTATGGTATGTGAATGCTATCTCAAGCTGTTTGGGAAAAAAGAAAAACCTACCTGCTTTGACTTAGAGCTAAAATAGATGTGTTTATTTTTGTTTACATTTGGTTTCATTTATGTATAAAGGCTTTTAAAAAGTTGTTTCATGCTGTTAAATGTAGTGACATTTTAAAATGTTTCGTTTACATTTTGGCATTTCCTATTCTGGATTGTGATAACTTTATGAATTGTGATTCCATTGTTCTAAGAGTATAATTACTTTGTTCTTAACTGCAAACTAAGAAGTCCTTTTATGGTGTTGACATTTCCATAACTGAATATATTCTCATCCTTTGTTATTTGTTTAAAATGGGATATTTTTGTGAAAATATGCACTTTAAAATACTCAGAGAAGGGAAACCTGCAGAGGTTCTCACATGCCTCTCACTATCGCTATTATCTTAAATAAGAAAGGGAAGAAAACTGATTGAGGTAATTATTTTGAAATCTCTGTGCTCTATATAGCTGTGAGACTTATAGCTAAAGCCACCTGGACTACCTCTCCCATCACCTGTGTATTCCCTGTAATTATCATTGGAACACAGTAAAAACAGATTGACGTTTGAGGTCTATTGGACTAAAGAAAAGCTTAGCAAATAAACTAAATTGCACTTATTTAATCCAGTTTACCTCTGACCACTATTAAACACGTTGAACTGCTCAGGGCAGTCCAGCAACAAGCTAAAGCTACTTCATAATGACCTGGCTGTCAGGACAGACATGGCACCGCCTGACCAATTTTCTGTCAACAATGGATTGGAGCCATTTGCATAATGGGACTGAACTATGTAGTCTGTCCTCCGTGGCGCTGTGCCTGGCTGTAGCAAGAGACCAGAAATGTAAGAAAATCATAACGTAGTTAGACAAGTGGGATGCCTTCCTCCTAATCAGGCTGACTTAACGTATTCCAAAATCATGAAGGCAGCAAGTCTCTGTGCTACTTGGTGATTGATAGCTGGGCTCTTGAGTTAAGCTTTTACTCATTCATTTGACAAATACATACCGTGCGCAGGACAGCTGGGCCCTGGGGACACAGTAAACAAAGTCGATTTGCACTTGGCACTGACAAAAGAAGGCATACACAATAACACAGTATTCTGCAGAGATATATTTATGTTTTATGAACATGTGTCTTATCATTCAATGAAGAATTTGAAGCAACATATGAGAAAACATATATTGGAGCAAAGAGTTTAAGTAGATAAAAATCGGTTCATAGTCTGAAAGGCCAAGACCATGGAGGAAATTAGAAATAGACATATGAACCATAACCCAGTTATGAAGGGTGACCCTCAAGCTTGCCTTTTCCTATCAGTCCAATCAAACACAATTTTTTTACATGATGTGCACTGTTTGTAAGAGAAATGCACTACAACTTATCTTGGAAAAGTAAACTTGACAAACAGAATAGGGGACAGCACGTTGGCTTCATGACAGGGTCTGCAGACACGATGTGGGAACTTACACCCAGGAAATCATAGAGGGCTGAACATGGTCACAGATTTTTTTTAATGTGCTGATGAACAATTTGACAAAGAGAAAGAAAGGTGCACCAAGATGACAAGCCTGACTTTCAGAAGTCTAACTCTTTCGTCAGTGTGGTCTTGGATTCCAGACGAAAGTAAAAATTGGTAGAATAATGGCCATTTCTCTCTGTTTATGAACTTGGACTGACCCTGCAGCCATTCTCTGCCACTTGAACAATGTTCCACGGCCTTCCCTTTACCAAGCTTGGTGCGTGGCAAGTGTGAAGGGTGGCAGAGTCCCCACTCTTTTTCATGTGGTAAGCCACCTCAGAGCGGAGGCAGGTTAGAGGGAAAAGTATGTTATAAAGAATCACTTAATGTCAAACTGTAGCATAACCTTCACTAGAGCACAGAGTTATTTGATGAGTCAAACATAGATGAATCTTGTGGGGACTGAATTTTTTTGTCACTTTGGAGGGAGGGATCAAATTCAAATTGTACAGTGTATGATAAGAAGATCATCTCTGTCTGCATCTGCCACTCTCACCCAATCTAAGGATTATCTTCCCTTTCAGAAGGCCTCTGGGGGTGGGGAGGATTTTTCTGCTGGGAGCCATCTTGCCCATATGGGGTGTGTCACAGATTAGCATGGGGACACGTGGGGCACATCCTCTTGAACATCAAGGGTGGCTGTGGCTATGCCTGAGATTGTGGCAGAGAGGGGAGACACTGCAGATTTCAAATGTGTCAGCCTCTTTACTTGTTAGCTTTATCCTATTTACACTGGAACTATTATGCATTGTTCTATGTACGCCATTTTATATAACGGACTTGAGCACCCGCAGATTTTGGTATCTGTAGGGGTCCTGGACCTAGTGCTCCACGGACACTGAGGGACGACTATAGTTAAGTTTGGGGGAATCAAAATTTAAGTTATACGCGGATGTTCGACTGTGCAGAGGATCAGTGCCCCTAATCCTCACGTTGTTCAAGGGTCAACTGTATTGTTTTCGACATCTCACATCAAGTCCAAGGAGAACCCCTGATTTCAGCTTCTTCTTCCACAAAAATGGATCACTGACTTCTCAGGGATTCTGAGGGAATGGCCTTCACTCACCAAGCAGGGCCCCATGTTTGCACTTTTCAATGAATAACAGCTTTCTCCATTAATATTGGTTTGTCGCTGTGTAACTCAGCCTTTTCTTTTTCTCCCTCTGTATCCTGACCCCAAACAGGTACCCTGTTTGCTTGCATTGCTTTCTTAGAAACACTCAGCGGAGCCACTGCGGTTTCTGCTTTTAATGGGATTTATTCCGCCACTGTCGCCTGGTTCCCGGGCTTCACCTTTCTGCTCTCTGCTGGTCTGTTACTGATTCCAGGGATCAGTCTGTGGTATGTACTTATTTTTAATCATTTTATTGAAGGATAGCTGGATTAAATGAATTCCTAACCTCACTAGTAAAATTACATAGATCTGTCAAAGTTGGCCCCAGAATGTACTTTTCTCAAGAAATTTTAGACACGAAGGCATCTGTCAATACAGAGACTTAGGAAGGAAGAGACAGCGACGTGGCTGACCAGAGCTAGGAGAAAGAAAGGTTGGGTTAGATAGAAACTCTGAGAAGTTGCCCCCTGTCTCTTTAAATATGAACAATTGATTAAATTAGCATCAAGAATAAATATATAGATATTCAAACTATGATTGCCTAGAGTATACTATCCCCCAATGGTCAAAGACATACTTTAATATGGGTTCTTAGATAAATGACAAGAGCAGATAGCAGGCACTGAATATTAGGAATTCTTTCCAGAGAGCTGGCTTGTTTAATGACTCACTCCCCTTTTAAATGTCAAGATCCAAATAAATGCAAAGTACGAAATTCTTTTGATGAATAGTAAGTACATAGAATGAAGAGAGAGGCCAGAGGCATAAACATAAGAGAACTACTTATTTCTCCCCTTGCCTTTCATTGAACAAAAAGTGTAAGCTAACAAGGTAAGAGGTTGCTAAAAGGCCCAAGCAAAGATACCTGACACACTGTGTGGGGACAAAGCATAGAGCTGAGAGCTCACTCACCTGTCTCCACTGGGCATGACCAGTTCCACTTGGTGACAACACAGCCACGATGGAGGGACACAGGCAGGCTTCTCCTCAGCATGGTGGGGAAGTGGGGTGGCTGTGAGTGAGGGGGGACAGTACCTCTGTGCACAGGCTGTAGGCATTCTACTGGGCTGTGAGGTCCCCAAGGGCTGGCCCACATCTCACTCATAGCACGACCTCAACGCGTATTGTCTCAATTCCAATACCTAGGTCTGTGTAAGGCCATTAAACAGTAGTAGTTACAGTTCCTCTGTGATTTTCATGAAAGCTGGTTTTTACTAGGTATGTTTTTGAGAAAGAGGCTATTCAGCTATTGAATTGGCAAAGTTAAAAGTACCTGCTCTGCTAATGAGCACGCAATGAGACAACCATCCTTATATGCTGCTGGTAGTTGTGTCCTCGGTGCTGTCATTTTCAGAAAGCAATTCATAAACAGGTATCAAAAGCTTTTTTAAAAAGTTCATAGTATTTGACCTGGCTATTCCTTTTAGAAACCTGTCCGAAGGAAATGATCAGTAATGTCAAAATTTTATATATAAGGAGTTCATTATGGCAAAAAAAAAAAAGGTAAATGACCAAAATGCCCAGTAATGGTTTTATAAAGATGATGCATCCATATCATGCAAAATGACTTTAATAAGAATTGCCTAATGGGGAGTAGAATAATAGGTACTTTTAATTTTAGTCTTCATATATTTATAAGTATTCCATTATGAAGACATACTACTTTTACAACTGGAAAAATTAGTGCAGCTGGATAAAAGGTAGTTATCCTTTTAATAATGCTTCTAATAATGTAAATGTAGATGGTCTTCTGAGATTTTTTTAACCCTGTACTGTTCAATAATTTTTAAATTAAAATTACATCTATTGTAATTATTTCCAAGTGGCATCTCTGCTAGCTGAGTTATAGCTATTGAACATGAACTTCAGTAATAGCTCTAGTTAGAACTATTTTTTTGTGGACTACACAGAGTAGACAGGTGGACAATTTAGGGAAATGGAAGAGAAGGAACTCTTATACATTTTTTATTCTTTTCCGAATGCTATGCATGAGTCTGTTGGAGTCAAAATGCCAGTATGTTCCTTCCATGCATAATCTGCATAATTTATTAGAAGCCATGTAACCAGGGAAAAGGTGGAATACAGATTATTTATGAATGTATTGCCTTAATCACAATTTTAAGATGTCTTGTTTGCTTTTGCAGTGTTGTCAAGTGCACCAGATGGAGAAGGAAAAGAGAAGTACTTCTCATCCAAGAAGAATCCAGTGACGACACTTCGGACAGATAATTAACTGTCGTTTCAAAAAACAAACAAATGCACATATCATATACTCTGACTTCTGAGACATACAAACTAGCTCTTAGTACTTCATGAACAATCGATGTAACGGGTCCTCTCTTCTAGGAAGGGCCTAGAACAGCCCCTGGCTCCCTCCCCATAGTACTGTGCACTTTGAGCACTTTATGAATATCGTGTACTTCCAGTACAGAGAAGAACAAATCTCAAAATGCTCCCCCTTTTGGATTTACAAAAGAAACTGAAACTTAACCATATGGGAGGGGGGGAGGTTAAGAAACTTGACAGGACCAAAAGCAATAATCTCCCTATATACTCCAGTCTCTCACCCTGAAACTAAGGAGAACGCTTTACCTCAATTTCTTCACCTGCAAAATGGGTTACTGACCTCTCTCAAGGATTTGGAAGGCATACCTGTTGAAAATCATGATGAATCATTCAATGATAGGAAAATAATAGAAGTTTCAAATATTTGTCATTTTACCTCTGCTTGGGTAATGCTTTGTTTTATAGAGGTACTATTGATAGTGCAAGTTTTTAGTAGCTACAAAATCCTTAAAATGGAAGCACTTTAAAGAATACATATTTTCACTTTTCCTAATGTTTCATCAGTGTCAGGCATGATAATATTTTTATAGGTAACAAAGGGGTGATTGAAAAAAAATAAGGTTATAAATAAAATTGTTTCTAAAGAAATGTAAAAACTGAGTAAACAGCCAATCATGAAGTAAAGAATTATGATAGCACCAATATTTGTTCCCTATTTCTTTCAAAGGGTATCCATTTCTTAACTGCCTTATACCCTTCCTGGGATCTACCCTGGTCCCTGAAAACATTCTTTCGTGCCTCCCATCTTTTGACACATTGTTCCATTTGTCCTTCCTCCCTCGTGACACTGAGATTTCCAAGTCCCAGGCAAACGCTGCTCCCTCTATGGAGCCTTCTTGCCATTCCCTCCCCACTGCAGCCCCTCCCCACTGTCCGAGCAGTGCCCACAGCTCTTCGTTTCTCCCGCCATCCTTGCGTTTCCCATGGCTTTGTCGTGTGTTTCCCCTGCTTGACAAGGAGCACCTTGAGGACAGGGACAGTCTTTGATTCCTCAATAAACGTTTGCTGAACCAAATACAAAGTTTTGTTTTTACTTGTAAAAATAATGTAAAACTATATATTTAATACACCAGGAGAGGAACCACTGATATGCTAGAGTTATTAAGCCAGCCTTGCAAATAAATTGAAAAGTATGCTAGGCCATGCACTTTTTAGATTGGTTTACAGTATTTTCCCAGGTCCTCCAATACCTCCCATCTCTAAGTTACCATATTTAATGACACAAATGCCCTGAAGGACAACTAGGTGACTAACGTCTCTGTCATCTCTTGAAAGCATATAGTCTTCTGTTTGATCACACTGCTTATGGTTTTTTTCTGTAAGGAAAGCAATGATTGCTTGACTAGTAAATAGCACTCATCATTTAAAATACTAGGAATTCTTGTTTCCAACACCATTCCTTTTAGGTTTGGCTAATGTCTTCTGAGCCTGGAGCCCAAGGAAGAACTGCGTGATGCTCAGAATTATTTATTTTTGTTTTCCTTCCTGTGCAACGCTCTTCCCAAACCAAAAGAACAAGTACTTTCCTGTTTACAAAGTGCTTTCTGCATCAACTAATTTTATCTTCTTAATAACCCTGTAGAGTAGAGCTTCATTTTCCTCCTTTTACAGACAGGAGGGTGAGTCCCAGAGACGTGACTTGACCTTTAAGCAGTAGCATTGTACAGGGATGGGCTTGGCACCACTGAGGTCCCTCATAGCTAGGTGGACATGTGACGCGTTTTAAATCCAATACCAACAATTGTGTCAGGTAGAGTATGAGGTGCCCCCAAACACACGAGCTCTGTCTGTACCCAACTACACAGCCTACAATATTGCCTTTTTTGAACTTAGAGAACATGGTCTGTGATGGCGTCCCTTCCAGCTCAGCCTTCCATGATTTTGCTCATTTCATCCCAACTGAAAAGAGCACAGGTGATGTTGTTTAATACATTGAAGGACTGACAGATGACTTCTCAGATGGGCAAACACTATTTGAGAGATGTAGTTAAGTACATCAGGGACTAGATTGAGGTGGCCCAGGGTAAAAATATAGCCTGAGTGAGCTTAGCCTTCTCCAAAGTGACTATCCTAACAAAATATTAGTAAATGTGATGCTGAAGAAACTAGAGAAACACAGCAGTGACAGGGGTATATGGTCAAGACAGAACTAGAAAAAAAACAAAAAGCTATCATCTAATGTCCCATAATGTGACCTTTGTATCTGATTATCTGAAGAAAGAATACTAGTGGATGACTTGTTTTTATGGCATCCATAAAAAGAGAAACACAAAAGGAAAATATGTTCCTTTTTATGCAGCACTGTACAAGGGGGGTTAGATATGCCATCTCTAATAGAAATTAATATTTTCATCACTAGAGAGGGTGTGCTTCTTTTTCTATGAGGTTGAACTCTTCAATAGGACCGTCCATAGCCTGTCCCGCGCAGCCTAAGAAGTCCCTTTTCGAGGGCCGGCCAAGTGGCGCGATGGTTAAGAACTGGCTTGGGATGCCAGAGGACCCCGGTTCGGATCCCACATATGAGGGCCAGTGACACTGCCCTCTACAGCTAAGATGCTGAACAACAGCTCAACCTGGAGCTGGGCTGCCGTGAGTCGCCGGTGACGGCGTAGGCTGCAGCCCATGTGGCAGTGGGTTGCCATGGGCTACCGTGTGTAGCCAGCAGCCAGCGTGAGCGGCCAGCAGCCGCAGTGAGCGGCCGTCCAGAAGCCGGCGACTGATCTGCCTCGCCCCGGAAGAGCGCAATGATGGTGCCAACTTGGGCCAGTGAAGCAACGTCCTCCACAACTAGACTGAAGAACAAAAAATGACAGCAATTTGTCTGTTCCCCTTCCCCAATCTCCCAGCACTGTTCCCATCCCCCCAATTCCCCAATAAAAATCTTTTTTTAAAAAGTCCCTTTTCTCCACACCTATGCTCACTGAATGATCCTCTGGTTCCTCATTCACTATCCAAAACCCTTGCTAATAAGAACAGGGTGTCCTAGGTTCAGTCCTCTTTGAAAGAAATGCCTGCATATCCGAACCACCGAGGAGCTTAAAGTTCCTGCAGATTCTAACTCAGTCAGTCTGGAGTGGGGTCTTAGAGTCTATTTTTAAAACCTCCCCAGGTGACATACACATCCAGATGTGGAAACTGCTGCCCTAGACAGGTGCTTCTCTGTCCTAAATGCAAAAGAATAAGCAGTGTGAGGTGGGCAGTAAACAAACACAAGCGCCAAGCCTTACTGGAGGCCAGTGGCTCTGTCCTCACTGCCCGTGCCCAGCCCCCAGGCCGGGCGACGTAAGCAAGCGTTCCTGGGAGGGGGAAGCAGACATCAATGCTTTTTCAGATATTCTCCCGGTGAGTCCAGTGTGCAGCCAGAGCGGAGCATCCCTAGATGAGAGTCGGCAAACTTTTTCTGTAAAGGGCCAGAGAGTAAATGTTTTAAGCTTTGTGGCTGCACAGTTTGGCACAACTACTTAACTGCACAAAACAACCACTGACCATAAAAAAAGGAAGGCTCATGGCTGTGCTCTGATAAACAAGTCAGCAAGCTGAATGTGGCCCGTGGGCGGTAGTTGCCCAACCCTGGCTCCACCAGGGAACAGACATATTTTGCTTACCAGAGAGGTATACCCCTTGGTGTAAATATGGGCATTCTCCATTAGAGAATGCATAGAACAGTGTTGATATAAAAGTCCTGGTACAGTGCCTGGCTCAGCGGGGGCTTGAAAAATCAGTTGCATTTGATTAGCTCGAGACAGTCCCTTGAGACAGACTGATTCTGGCTGCACTGACAGAAGTTTCTAGACTGACATGGCCTCCAATCATTCTTTAGGGACTGCTTTCTTGGGGATAATATGTATCTAGAATATGGTCAAGATGGGACCTAGCCCAAATGATTTCATTGCCAAACATTTAAGAAACAAACCAATCAATTCTACGTAAGCATTTCCAGAAAATAGAAGCCAGGAACACTTTCCAACTCATTTTATGAGGTCAACATTATCCTGATGCAAAATGAGACAAAGAAATCACAAGAAAAGTAAAAGTACTGTTAAAATAAATCATTCAAGAAGATAAGTTAGGTGATAAAGCCAACTTGAACACTTGGTGAAGCAGAGGGTCTCCCCTTAGAGAACTGTAACATGGGATGGGAGGCAGGACGCCTCTATAGGATAAGGACTGAGGGACAAGGAAGGAAGTGTAGAGCCCAGAGCCCGTGTGGCTTCTGAGGACTGGCTGACTGGATCACTGCGTTTCTGGGCCAGTGCAGCCAGTGATCGAAGTTTCGGTCTGCTAATGTGGCACCGCAGGCAAGGGGAGCTCCATCTTGGGGCTAAAAGATTATTCCAACACTACAAACTAGTATCCCTCATGAACATAAACAAAACATTCACAACAGAATATTAACCCGGCAAGCTAATTATAAACAAGAGAGNCCGGCGACTGATCTGCCTTGCCTGGGAAGAGCGCAATGATGGTGCCAACTTGGGCCAGTGAAGCAACATCCTCCACAACTAGACTAAAGAACAAAAGGACAGCATCTTGTCTGTTCCCCTTCCCCCAATTCCCCAATTAAAAAAAAAAATCTTTAAAAAAAATATTGTTAGCTATATTTTAATAAATATCCTCAAAGAAAAAGACAGATACAATACTCATAAGCTCCGATATAGCCTCACTATGTAAAGCAGGGGCGGGGCCAGCTGCATATCCAGTCGGGGAAGGCTGGAGGATACAGGCCTAGCAGCATGCGCCGGCTGTGTTAGTGGTGATTTGTAGGGATTCAGCATTTTGAAAAAAATGATTTAATAACAAAGAGGGGAAAAAAAATGTTCACTTGCTGGGACCTACGCCAAAATAGAACTATTGGAATTTCTGAGATTCAGACTGTGCCACCAAAATTTCTTCACAAGACTCCCAGATGATTTTATGTGCATCCAGAGATGAGGATCACTGGTATAAGTAAAAAGAAGGTAAAAGACAAAAAGGAGAGAGACATAAAGCAAAATGACCTTCAAAAAGTAAGCACTAATCATGGTTACCAATTTCTGTTTAAAACATCAGCTATTCCATTTAAACTATGTCATTAATTTTATAGTACCCTCTACTGGTCAGGAAGGGTATTATTCCTAGAACTAAGCAACAGAAGACATCTCCAACTTTCTTAATTAGTTGAAAGAGAATACTTATATGCATATCTAGAAAGGATCAATTAGTGGACCTTCATTATTTCTGTATTTTCTCATAATTTAAGTATATAATGTGTTAGCAAATACTGTGTAGGCAAAGATGATTTTAAAGTTAATCATGGGCCAGCCGAGTGGCGTGTTGGTTAAGAGTTGGCTTGGGACACCAGCTCTGAGCAGCAGGTCCCTGGTTCGGATCCCACAAGGGCCAATGATGCTGCACCCTCTACAGCTAAGATGATGAACAACAGCTCGACCTGGAACTGGGCTGACATGAGTTGTCGGCGATGGCGTAGGCTGCAGTGGGGCTGGCCAGCAGAAGGCTTGTTTTCCTGAGCTGCTGTGAGCCGCCACGAGCGGGGGTCCAATGGCCGGCGAGCGACTGTCTCACCCGGGAAGAGCGCAACGATAATACCAACATGGGCCAGTGAAGCGATGTCCTCCACGACTAGACTGAAGAGTAAAAGGACAGCAACTTGTCTGTTCCCCTTCCCCGAATCCACAACGCTATTCCCCTCCCCCAATTCCCCAATAAAATCTTAAAAAAAAAAATTCAGTTAATCTCAACAGTCAGGAACAATTAAAACATGTCACTTGGTTTATCAAGATTTCTCAACCTTGACACTACTGACATTTTGAACCAAATGATTCTTGGTTGCAGGGAGCAAACCTGCACAATGTAGATACTTTTATAATATTCAGTAGTAACTTTTTGTAAGACAAAGGCTACTGTTTCAATATAAATTGGAGTATTTTACATCATCTTCCATTCGTACTTTCATTACATGACCATAAGCCTATGTCCTGTATGTTGTAGGATGTTTAGCAGCATCCGTGGCCTCTACCCACTATATGCCAGTAGCAGCTCCCACCCTCCAAAGCTATGCCAACCAAAAATATCTTCTAAACATTATCAATTGTCACCAGGCCCCAGAAGGGAGGGGCAATATTGCCTTTAGTTGCAAATCGATGATGTATCCAATAAAGATGTTTCTAGGGATGTAAGAATGCACAAGAATGTGAAGTGATATCTCACTGTGGTTTTGATTTGCATTTCCCTGATGATTAGTAATGCTGAGCATCTTTTCATGTGCCTGTTAGCCATTTGTATGTCTTCCATGGAAAAATGTCAACTGGGTCGTTTGTATTTTTATTATTGAGTTGTATGAGTTCTTTATACATTTTGGATGTTAACCCCTTATGGGAAATAAACAGGAAATCGATAATTTAAAAATATTTTTTAATTAGTGAAAGATGACTCACTTATGAATTGAATCTAAAAATCTTTCATTTTCATATACCAGGTTCATAAAGAATACCTTATAAAAAAGAACAACCGTAGTGAATATTCTTAAATAAATTATAATGGAATTTCTTCATGGAAATGGGTGTATACTTGAATGTTCTAATGTTTTTAACTTAAGCATCTTGTGATATATAAATCTATGCAGTACAAAAGTTTAATTGACATCTGCTGGTTGCTTTAATTTTTCACTTAAAATTAAAGACAAGATCCAAATCAAAACCTCTAAACTTATACTTTTCAACTTTAAAGAATCAAAAAATCACTATAATTCTTAAGTAACTTCAGTAAAGCAAACGTTATTCTTATAAGCACTAATAGACTATACCAAAACAAGGTAAAATATAAATATCTGATTTTATACCTAAATTGAAGTGTTGCCAGTCAAATCAATTACAGATGTTTATTCTGAAAGATGCTACTGTGAAGACTGGAGACTCAAATACTGATAATGGTTATTCAAAACTAAATGTATGGGATAGCCAGAAAATAGGTTGAACTGGAACCTGAGGACGGTTTTATAATATTTATTCACAACAGTTTTTTAAAGACGTAGAAGACTATTGTTTTAATATAAATCAGGAGTTTTAAAATCATCTCTAGTGCTTTCAACTGTCGCATGGCCATAAACCAAAGACCCAAATAATTTCAAATGATCAGATGTTACTTAGGCAACAATTCTCATGTGTCAGTACTTTTAATGTGGTGTACATAAAATTACAGTAAAAAGATGACTATACACAAGATGTAGTCCCTCTATTTTCATGAGCAGCACANTAAGTCTTGAGTTAAAATCAATCCATCTCTCCAAAATTAAGTAAGCCTAGCCAAAGATAAAGCAGAATGCCACCTGGTCTTTCAATGACCCAAAGCCATATCCTCTACGTGACCTCTATTTCATCACAGAGATGAACAATATAGCTTTTCCTGTCTCCACAAGGTCAAGACACTAAAAAGACGCAAAAAAAAAACCCAGAATACAACTGACAAAGCACGTCTACTGGCTCCAGAAATAAATTCATCTGGAATCAAACACTACATTTTCAAAACTTGATTTTTTAATCTTTAAAAGGAAAAACATTATTGAAGTCCCTTATGTATTTTTCAACTGGGAAAAAAAAAACAACCCTGCCGAAATTCTATTTAAAAAACTAATGGTATCTGCTCATTCTTTAATATGATTTAAGGATCTATAATAAACTAAAAGTACAGGTTTTTAATTAAGCATTTATTGTACATGAAAGAACCTGAATTTTAATTTTGAAATCATGAGCTAAACAAGTTCAATGAAGGGTCATGGTATTTCTGGTCTTGCTTTATTGAAAGAGGAAGTCAAAATTTATACTTAGATGTCATGTGTTTGAAAAAAAGTTAACTACTTGTAGATTATAATGAAAGATTATACACTAAGTGGTCTTGCCATTTTTCAAAGTGATCTACTTGTTCAGATCATCTTTCACATTCTTAAATGTCTGCTTTCAAAGGAATAACAAAATGCAGGAACACTGGGTCATATTCATGTGTATTCCTAACAGAAGGTAATACCCACTGCACAGGACAAAACTAATGAAAAATGATAAGCCTATCGTTTATATTTTGCACAGCAGGTAGGTGTAAAGACATGTATTTAGGCAAAGAGCCACATGTTGCACCAAATAGTGCTCAATTCTTTCCAAACCCCAAACACTCCCAGGCAATAAACCCCACAAATTCCTTTATTCTAATATACATTGAAAGACTTAATATAAAATTAGGTTGCACCTTCATTAGGTATTTTTCTCTTTTATTGTGAATTTTATTATCTTAGTGTTAATAAAATAAATTTTAATCAGCCACCAACCTATAAAGTTCCTCTTGAACCCAAAGATTAGTGTTTTACAAGCAAAACAGAGATAAGGAAAATACACTAATTCTTCAATAAAATTATAGAATCTGAAAGGAAAAAAAAAAAGCCTAATTGAAGAATTTGGCACCTAGGCAAGTAACTCAGAGATCTGCCACAGGCTCTTATGAAGAAATATGAATAATTCCAACTCCTGTAGATTTGAAGTTTTTCAAAATAAAAAGTTGGTGAAAATATAATATGGTTTATGTTTTGCCAAACTTCAG